ATCAGCGCGGAGAGGCTCTCCCTCTCTCCCCTCGGGTTGTGCTGAGCCGGGCCCTCCACCGCGCGTCGTACCGACCTCTCCTGCACGTGCCGCACCAGGCGCGGCTGAGCCAGCGGAAGCTGCTCCTCCTCCATGGGCGTCTCCTCGCTCACCTCCTTGGACGGGTCGGCGACCACGCGGCTGTAGTCCACCCGACTCTCCCCGCACACCGGGCTTGTCTTGACCAGACGATCCTTCGTAGAGGGACTGTTGTCCCACTTTGACTGCGGCCTCGGATCGGGGATCACCTCGGTGATGGTGAAGTTGAGAATCAGGCTGACCCGCTTTGGTAGACGACCCAGGGCTTTCAGCTGCTGCTGATCCCTGTATGCGATCCGCTGTCCGCACCTCTCGCATGTCCACCACTTGCCGTGCATGTTGGACCCTGAGGAGATCTCCACCATGGGATGACGGCAGTTCATCTGGTGCTCTGTCAAGCGCCGATCCATCTTTCTGGTCTTGAGGGTGAAGAGACGTCCTGCATGAAGCATGCTGCGCAGCTCGCGACTGATCATGCACGCCACGCTCATGATCAGAGACGTTACAACGATCCAATGCCTCGAGCTCCGATTGAGATATGCTGGAGCGTCGTTGTCCGTGAGAACATACTTCCCTGCGAACGCATGAACCGGAGTCCCTGACGCCGGCATCTCTCTCGGACAGGGCGGTCAACCACTGATCGAGTGTCAACTGGTCCTTTTGCTCGAGCAAAGATGATCTCCGGTGTGATGATGCCGCCGAACGCAGATCCCCAAGAACGCGCCCGGACACATCTGAATTGACGACCCATGGAAACTTCGAGACCTCGTATATCGGAAACTCCCCGGAAAGCACTTTGCCGTTGTCTTCGATGATGTTCCGGTCGTCGAAAGCGTCGGCGTTGGTTTCGGTGCCGCTCATCTCGTCGATCCGAGTATTTTGTTCCCCACCGGCTTCAGTAACAAACGATGGCGCTGCCCCTGGGGCCTCTTGAGCTCCCGTGCTCTGAGGATCTCTAGGACCTTGCGCTGTCGGTGTTCGTCCGGTCGTACACGTCGTCTCTTTGCTCTTGGAGGTCGTCGTCGTTTCGTCGAGTCGAGTCGTTGGGGCCGGCGGGGATTCCGCCCTTAGAACCTGGGCCGTCGACCTGGGGCCCAGAGAAACCCGAGATCGAGAATTGGATGAGGCGAGGGATCTGAGCTGAGGAGGCCTCATACTCCGCGACAGGGCAAACAGGCTGCCTGAAGCTGTCAGCACACACCTCGGGGAAGTCCCGAGCCAGCCGCTCTGAGAATTGAAACTCCCGAGGTTTCCTCCAACGGTCGATCCAGAAACATGGGTGACCCGAGGAGAGAAAAAACAGTTTCGTGGTCCGACCCAGCTTCGAGAAGAACACCTCTTTCCTGGGTAAATCTACAACTGCGCCCAAGGCCGTGAGCAAAAAGACTGGAAACAGCAAAGGGATATCCTTCTCAATCACATCAACCTCGAGCACTCCGTGGGCCTCCTCGATGCCCGTCGGAATCAATGCTGTCGACAGCACGTCCGTTTTGCCACCGACACCACCTGCCGAAGCGTGGCGAGCCGCGACATGCACCACCGCGTAGCCCATCTGCCGAAGGTGGCCGTCGAGCTCCGCGAGGTTCCTCTTGCCGACCAGGCCCTGCCAAGCTGCCGCGTCGAGAACCGCGGCGCCCGGCGGGGCGCGCAGCCCGCCCGGACTGCCGCCCTTTGTCGCCTGTAGGACCACGTCTCGCTGTAGGCAGGTGTCGATGCTGCGACCAGCCACGATCGCTGTCTCCTTCGTGCTCAGCGGCATCGGCACGTCCATGAGGAAGGCCTCCTCCTGAGCGTTGGGGTAGCAGAAGCCCGTGACTGGCGGGCTCGCCTGCTGCCGCTGAGCTCCCGCCTGCCTCTGACTGGTGGCCGCGCCGCTCTTGTTAGGGCACTCATCGCCCCAGTGCCCCTTCTGCTGACAGATTCGGCACTTCGAGCGCTTGATGATCTCGGAGAGAGGGAGCCGCGCCTTGCGGTCTCGCTGATGACCGTGAGCGCTGTAGTGGCCGTCCGCTCTCCGGGGCTTGTCTCCAGAGCTCTGACCTGGGGCGCTGCGCTGGAAGTACCTCCTGTCGGTCTTGAGCTTCCTCTTCAGCTCTCGGTTCTGGCGCCAGGTCTTCCTGCGATCAGCTTGCATCGTTGCCAGAACGATTGGTACGTCCGCCTCGTCCAAATCCTTCTGCTCGATGACGTCCAGGAGCGCGTGCTCCGTGTCTGTGTCGAGCGACGAGACATCTTCCACACTAAGCAGATCCTCCTGCACGTCCACTGGGAATGACGCCGGTGGCGTCGGAGCGCCGTGTCCCTCGACGTGAGCGACCAGGCTGCGACGAGTGCCGGTCATCGTCTCCTTTTTGCTGATGTCTAACTCCCTGATGGCCGCCAGCATCGACGCGTAGGACGTGTCGCCCTTGGTCAAAACTCTGATGAGTCGCGAGCTGGCGTCGTCCAGCCCTGCGCCCTCCTCGAGGAAGAGCGCCTTCCACTCGTCGGGCATCTCGAGCCCCTGAGTGGCGATCCTGTCGAACTGCTGGTCCAGCCTGGACGCGAAGGAGGTCAGCGTCTCCGCGTTCCTCCGCTGGTACTGAAACAGGCACTCCCTAGCGGTGCGCCTGCGCTCGTCGTCATGACGCTCGCCCGAGAGAAGGTCCAGCTGCTTCAAGACGCATTGGACACCGAGCGGGCTGGTGAGCTGGGAGTCGGTGATGCACTCCAGCTTCCGCTGCAGCTCTGCGTCGAGCATCTTGAGCACCCTGTCCGCCCGCGTGGCGGGCACTACGTCCGTGGCCTTCTCCCACCTGAGTATCTTCCGCTTCCACAGTCGGTAATCCGGCCAGCCCATCCAGGGCTCTGGGCCACTGAAGTCGCCCCGCCTGCCGCTGGCTTGTTGCCACCAGGCGGACCAGCTGGAGCCGTACGCACCCCACGGGTCCTCTTCCCAGCGGCTCGACGTGGGCTTCTCGTCTTGCCAGGGATCTCGTCTCCAGCCTTGCCGTTCATGTCCACTGGGCTGCTCCTTCCACCTATCGCCTTCTTGAGCGCCACCTGCTATGCCATACCAGTTGGCCGCACTCCAACCTCCCCACTCTGAGGCTGGGTCTCGCCACTGGCCGTGGTCTTCCCCTGCAAGTGGCACACGCACTGACCGATCACCTTCACCCGCGGGAGCTGCTGATCGGTCGGCACCTCTGTCGAACGCACTCCGCTCCTCGCGGACCAGCTCCCTGATCATGCGGCCGAGGTCGGCCACGCTCATGGTCGAAACTTCCTGCTGCGTCTCGGGGGCCGCCCCCTGGCCTCCAGCCGCCTGTGCTGGGTCCTGGGTCTCGCCAGCAGCCGCCGACATGTCTTGGACACCGGAGGTGCCCTGAGAGCTAGAGTGCGCAAAGCGTATAGGAGCCGAGGACGTACCCCGGCTCCGCTACCACTATGAATCCAACTGCTCTCAGAACCCTTTCCGATGTTGACACTGGGCGACGATGGGGCGAGGTTTTCCTGAAAACCTGACAACACAGAGGTGCCTCGTGCCAAAGGCTGCGGAACAGAAAACAAGAACAACATGACTGCAAACCTGCTATACAACTCTCTGGGCCTGCCCACTGTCTTAAAGCTCACATGGGTTAGATAGTTGGCAAGAGAATCGACATCAGAAGTATCTCAAGGGACTCAATGGTCTCTCAACACCCTCTCAAGACCTCCCCAACATCTTTCTCTTACGGGACTTTGGTCGGATCATGTCGTTCTGGTTGGCACACGCCCCAGGAGAGGCCCATGGGATGGATGTTGAGGAGAAGGAGGAGGAAGACGAGATGGAGGAGGCCGATGTGAAGCAAATGTCGAACCGCTGTTACCGTAGCTTTCAATCGAAAGGGGGCCGTGTCCGAGAGTCCCGTGGGTCGTCAGACCTCGGCCTTGAATGGACAAAAATAACCCTTGGGCAAAGGTCGGGAGCCTGAGGGGTGACGGACCCCTCCCAGTCCATCCTTGCAGGTTTGATATCACATCGCTTCTCGATGGCCCTGGGGCCCAAGACTGGTGAAACATCTCGATCCTCACTCCTCCCCAAACATCCGACGATGTGTTTTTGTTCCGCGAGCCCGGAGATTCCGATCCCGTCCCATATTCATGTGATTGCCCCGGGGCCCGGAAACGGATCCCGGGGGCCGAAACTTAGAAACCACGCATGGACTAAATCAATATATCCGCTTCGTGTACAGCAGGAAGAGGAGACGGAGAAGCATGAGGAAGAGCAAGGAGGAGGGTCGTCGATGTTTTAACTGGCCGTCATCTGATTATCCTGCTCCTCCCTGCTCCTGCGCCCCCTGGGTCGGGTCGGACGACAGTGGGGGGTACAGTAAAGGAGGTTCAGCGAGTCAACTCACGTAGCTGGCTCTCCTGGCGCCTCCCGGCGCCGGAGGAGCCAACGTGTCGAGGAGAGGGCCTCGCGGCGGAACTGAAACCAGCCGCGCGCAGCAGATTTCGTAACCCCTCTCCCTCGCCCAATCCACCCTTTTTGTCCGGCCCCATCCGGAGGTGGAGGAGGAGGGCCGCCGATGTCTTAATTCGCCCTCCTCTGATCCTCCTGCTGCTCCCTTTTCCAGGTGCCTCTGATCACCTGATGATCCTCCTGATCCGAATCTGTCTCTGTCTCGACGCGTTTGCGCACAGGTCTGAGCGGGCGGAGCTGCATTCTCTGCCTTGCGGCCTGCTCCTTACAGAAGAAACGTTGGCAGAGCATCACTGGTACAGGTGCGCGCAGGGGTACTGATTCAGGCACCCGGGTATTTTTCAATACGCCAGAGACGCGTATTTCGAGCGGCTCCCTCCTGTGACCATCCTCTGGTCCTCTGGGTCCTCCTCCGCATCCTCTTGGCCCTCTCCCCGCCCCCCATGGGGACCCCCAGAATTCGAGAGACCCTCGGCTCCTCGGTCGGCGGGCGGGGGCGGCACCTCCTCGCTTGCGCAAAGCTGCTGCCGCAGCGCGGTTGCGGGCCTCGCCGCGGGGCCGCAGAATTGAGGATGACCCGGATCTCCACCCCGAGGAAGGGCGGATGAGGAAGGGGGAAAGAACAGGCGGGGGGAGGAAGGAGGGGATTCACGTCCTCCCGTGCAGCGGTCAACGACCGACTGAGTCCTCTGAGCTTGGCGCTCCCGTGCTCCTCTATGAGCGGGCCAAGCCTCTCTGCCGGCTCCCTCCTCCTCCTCCTCCTCTTCCTCCTCCTCCTCCTCCTCCTGGAGGATGACGAGGACGGGGCACGATAGGACGGACGCCCGAGGCGGGGGCCCGGGCCGGGCGGAGGAGGGCGGGGCCTGTGACCTCCGACGACGTGGGCGAGCGCAACACAAACACTCTCCGCCGGTCGTCGATGTCGGGGGCCGCGTCCATCGTAAGAGTGACCCTTCGCAGGAGTGGCCTGTGGTGCGGGCACAGATGGGTCCCCAGATGGCTGAAAACGAAGCAATAGCAGCTGGTTGCGCGCCCATGTTTGGTCCCCCCGCGGCCCCAAAAAAGCCGCGCACCAAAGGTCACTCTTACCCAAGGTCACTCCTGCGTATAGCCGAGTCCAAGCCCCTGGTCCGTCAGAAGGCGGTCCGAGACGACAAACTGGCCCCCGGGAAACAGTGTGGAATCCTGGTGGCTCCGCACAGTAGATGCAAAAACGGTAAGAACCAGAGATCGAACGGAAATTGTTCGTTGAGCTTTGAGCTTCCTGAGGTGCCCCAGTGCTTCTTTGGGTCCACAGGGCCATCGGATGATGACGCATTTCTGTGGGGCACTTGGCGGCTGGCAGGCAGGTTTATTTTCTGACGCGCCTGACAAGTGTCTTGACCAAGTCGAGAGATCGGGGGCCTCGGGAGAAGCAGGACCCTGCTCAGGGTGGAAGGGGAGGGGATGGGAGGGAGGGGGTGGTGCAGCATGGAGTCTCCCGTCATCTGTCCTCGATCTCGTCGTTCTCCTCCTCCTCCTTCTCCTCCTCCTCCTCCTCTTCCTTTGTCTGTTCCTCCTCGCTCTCCCTACTCCCCTTCCTCCCTCCTCCATCTTCCCCCATGGCGACCATTCTTTGCCAGGGCCCTGTAAAACAGGACAATCCAAAAAAATGACTTTGCCAGATCCAACAAGGGAAAGCAAAGATTGGATACCATTTCGACCTGCGGCTGCAGTCTTCTTGTGGCACTTGCGAGGAGGACAATTTTCCATAACCGCCGGCTCTGGGACCGATCTTCGGAGACCACGCTGGCGCGGGATATGGATATGAATGTGTAGATAAACACATATATACATATTTAACCATCTGGTTATACTTCTTATACCTATATTTGATACAAGAGAGAAGCCCCAATCATATGGGGCAATGGGGTTTGGGGGTTATGGGGCTATGGGTTAAATAAAGGACTGTAGGGCTAGAAGGCTATAGGGCTATGGGGCTATAGGACTATAGGGCTGTGGGGCCTGTAGGGTTCTAGGGCTATGGGCTATAGGGCTATAGGGCGATAGGGCTATAGGGCTATAGAGCTATAGGTCTGTAGGTCTATAGGGCTATGGGGCTATATGGCTATATGGCTATAGGGCTATAGGGACGTAGAGCTATAGGGCTACATAGGGCTACAAGGATATAAAGCTATAGGGCTATGGGGCTATGGGGCTATGGGGCCATAGGGCGATAGAGCACCGGGGCACCCCGGGCACCCCCGGGCACCCAGGCTCCTGGGCCCTGGGGCACCCGAGGGCCCCCAAGCACCCGGGCACCCAGGCCAGCTACCGAAATCGGCGGCGCACCTCACCGAACCATATGAATCCGCCAGGACCCCTACAGAGGCAAGCTCTGATTGGGGAACATGTGTACATCTATGTTCCCGTGCTTATATTCGTGTATGTGTGCATGGGCCCCAAAGGCCCGAAAACATCCACAATACACCGCCTGCCGAGGTTCGCAAATATGGATCTCCCAGGCGGTGGTCATGGATAGATCCCAACCTTGGACCACTATTCCGATTCATCATCATGTGTCCCCGTTTACGGAGTCTGAGTTTGTGTGAGGCTTTTCGGCCCCGACCCATCCGTTGTCATCTCGGGGGTGTCCGAGGCTGGGCAGGAGCGCTCGCCGCGGTCTCTGCAACGACGCCTGGGCGCGAACCTTTCGGGACATCATCAACTCGTGCCTCAGGCTGGAGGTTGCCAGAGGCCACCCCAGCCTCGAACCTCGAACCTCGCACATCGAAGCTCATCATCACCATCTTCCCCCTTCCCTCCCCTCTCCCCCCTATCTCCGGCGACTCCTTGGGCACCCCCCGTGCCGACTCTGGCCACCGCTTGGGCGCTCCCCCCGCGCCTCCGGCGCCGCCCCGCCCCGCTGGGGCTCCGCGCCTGCGTGCGGGTGGGGCGGGGCGGGCTACGCGCAGAGTGGCGCGAGGAGAAGCGGGGAGGGGGAAGACCCATGGAGGGGGGGCGGGAGGCAGTCCGAGCTTCGGGGCTTAGGGGAGCGTGTCGCCCCTGTGGGCCTTTAGGGAGGCTCCTCGCCGCCACGGCTGGATCCGCCTCGACCTCCTGGTGAGAACGCATCCCTGGAGAGGTCCGGGGGTCGATCAAGGCGAGAGGAAATTTTTGAGCTGGGGGAGCTGGATTCAGCGTCTTGGAGAGGGGCTGGCTGACTGCCGGCCCCCCCGCGAAGCACCTCCGAGGCAATGGCTCTGTCCCACAGTTGTCAAGGGCCCTGTACCCACTGACATCGTCAATCACGTCAGTCGTGTGATGGAGGCCCAGAGGAGGATGGGCGCGGGGTCCAACAGAGCCACAAGCTGGCCCAACAGGCGCCAAGACAACCCCACGACAGGCGCAAGAGACCCCGCATACGGCCGAGAGGGCCCCAAGACGGCCTCAGAGAGCTCCACGACGGCCAGCACTGGCCCAATGGATCCTCAATACTGCCCCAGAGGAGCCCAAGAAAGGACGGACGAGGAAGCCGACGACGGCGAGAAGAGAACCCCCGACACGCCTTGTTCTCCCCAACCTTGGGACACGATGTGTCTTTCTTGATGGCCTCCCGTGCCTCCCTGAGCTGGCATGGTGGCGGGACTTGCCGCAAGCAGCTGGAAGTAAGTTGATGGACTTGCCGCAAGCAGCTGGAAGTCGCGGGAAAAAGGGTCGAGAATTGTGAATCAGCCAGGCCGTATGAGACCTTGGGAGCAATCAAGGCGAGCGAGGAAGATGGAAGCGGAATGCAAGATGTGAAAGCCAGCTCGCACCGTCCCGAATCTACAGACACAACCGTTGTCAAACATGCGTCCTGACGCCATGAAGCTCGGCAACATTGCCATACACTGGGGCCGATTCTTAAACACGCACGGAGGCGTGCCGTGTGACTGACTTGGACAACGCGATTTCGTCATAGCGGCTACAAGTGCCATTTTCCTGGCGGCTCCCTGGGCCTTCAACGTGCCGTTCACGCGAGCTCAGACGTTTCAAACGCTGCATTGCGCCCGTACGGCGATGTCTTTGTTGCAGACTCGCGGCAGACTGCAGGCGGCCTTGAACCCCTCCTATATCTGCCGCCACGAGCTGGTCAACTCCGTCTACTTTGGATGTGTTAGAACTGAGACTTGAAGACGTAGGCGATATGCAAATCTGCAGGGCGGCATCCTTGGATGCCGAACCATCGGGCCCATGTGACAAAACAAAACGGGACAAGTCTACAGCACCGATTGGTCCAACAACCAACGACCTTGCTCTTTGCTGTCTGAATTGGGTATGCAAATCTTCACTTGACCTGTAGAAGCGCGAAGCCATGTGAAGTTGCACCTCCAAGACCGAAAACCTGGCTGGCCAAGTGCCATGGCGTTCTTGATAACCCAATCCCACCTCAATGCATCTCACAATGAAGGGGTCTCACACAGCGGACTGGACTAGTGGAAATGGGCGAACACGAAGTGCCTCTCGAAACGAGGAGTTTCCCGCGATGGCATTGTCCCATCGGCCCTGCAACACGCTCAGTCGAAGTGGCTCAGTCTGCGTTCAGGAGCCTGCCAAAACACCTCTCTGACTACAGTAGGCGCCCGATTGCTCGATCATCTTCTCTGGATTCATGTTGTGGGCTGTAAGACTGAAGACAACTGCTACCAAAAGTGACCGAGGCCAAGTCCGCGCGTCGTCTGTGGCATTTTGAACAAGGTACCAATACATATTGTTACCGCAACGGTTTGCAACATGACATGAACTGTTTTTGCTCATGGTATCGACTCCTTGGTGTTTTGCTCAGGCAAGGCGTTGGTCAATACCAGGACGATGCCTTGGGTGACAAGCGGAGGAGCGGACGACGAGGATGAGGAAAGGATAACCAGAGATGAGATGAGGATCGCACGCCACGCATCTGCAAGGGATGGAGAGGATGATAAGGAAGCTGACCATGAAGTGAAAGCATCCTGGTAACGAGGAGGATCAGGGAGGATCATGGTGGAGCGTGATGAAGTTCAAGAGGATCATGGGAGCAGGGGCAACGAGGACCAAGTATGGGAGATTACCCCCGAGGTCCCTGAAATGTGCCCAGGCACGTCGCAGGGGGCCCTGGCCCAAAACGTCCAAAACCTCGATCCTCGAACCTCTGGCCTCGAGCCTCAACCGACGGACGACGACGAAGCGGAAAGCGACGGGGGTGGCGACGACGAGCACGACGACGACGCCGCCGCAGCCGCCCGCCAGGCAGGCGACGACTGCCCGCGGGCTGCCCGCGGGCTGCCCGCGGGCCGCCCTGAGGCCGACCGAAGGCCGCCGGGGAGGGCCGAGGCGCAGCTGGGAGCGCCTGGCGTGCGCCGTGCCGCGCGACCTTCCCAGGCGGCCGCGCGACGCCCGCCGCCAGGCCGGAGAGCAGCGCGCCCACGGCGGCGCGCCCGCGGGGGCCCAACGCGGAGGCCGCTGGCTGGCGCGGCGCCGCGGGCGCGGGCGGCTGCGGCGCCGCGTCGGCGGCGCCGGCGCACCTCGGCGGCGGGCCCGCAGGTGGAGGGTGCTCGCCCGAGGTTCGAGATACTCGAGATCCTGGCTCCGGGCTCGAGAAACAGGCGTCGTCGACGGCCTGGAAGACGAACTCTGGCTCGACGGGCCGTTTCGAGTTTGTCAAGCCGCCGGTTCCAGCGGCTCGGAACACTCGAAACGGCTGCTTGTTCTTCATTTCCCTCGCGGTTTCGGGCACCTGGACCGTCAAGAAACGACCCGGGAGGAAACAAGCGGCCCCCTTCCGAGGAAGGGGTCGAGACCTCCGGAGGGGCCCATGTCTCGAAGAAATCGCGCCGCCAAATCTCTGGAGAAGGCGTCCCGTCGTGTCTCTCGCTGGCGCCGCCCGCCCCTGCCGGCGCAGCATGGAACACGCCTGGCTCCCAGACAGCCGGTCATGGTGCGGAGCTTATCCGCTTGCGTCTCCAAAGGATCTCGGAGCGAAGATCCTGTACGCCTCTGGCCTGTCCGAGCCCCGACATGCGACGAAGAGTTCTTGTTAATCCGCGGCCTTGGAGGTGCCGCCACCTACCCTGGCAGTAGCGTTTCGTCTCGAACCGCTTTCGGTGGATCGGGGGGGGCGTCCACGAGGGTGCGTGCGTCCAGAAGGGTGGTTCATCAATCTTGCCCGAGGCACGTGCGCGGCCCAGGGGGGCAGGGGGACGTATTGAAATAAGAGGCGCCATGGAATCTAGGGAGATCATGGCCCTGGCCAGGATATCCCACTGGTCATTCCCCCCCTCCTGAACGCCCCCGTTCAGCGAGCAGAAGGTGTGGGGGCAACACAGAACCTGCCGGCCGATCAGAAACTGCCGCGCCTCACGCAATCGCTGGGTCTGACCGTTGACATCGTCCTTATGAATCCACGTCTAGCCTGTCTCCAGCAAACCGCGCAGCACCCAGCGCAGCGAGTCCCGTTGCCTTAAAGACCTGGGCCGGCCAGGCCTCCTCGCATGTCTGCTAGGCGATGCGCCTCCTCTCGCTGGCGGCGTACTCAGCGGAGGCATGCGCGAAGAGCAGCGCATACTGGGGCGCGCACATGGCCGCCGGCGCGAAGTACACGCAGTTCTCCATCCACTGCTGCGGGCCCGCCGCCTCGCCCAACGGCCTGGGCATACAAGGCTGGACCAGCCGCGCCAGGGTCGCGGTGACAAGCTTGTCCACCTCCTGCTCCGACTCGCGGTGCTCGGGATCGGCCCTTCACACTCTCAGCGGGCTCGAGACTCTCCGCTAGCACCGCTGCGCATGGGGCCCAATAAGCCTGGGTGAGGGTATCGACCACCCCTCCATGGAGGGCATCCGCAGTCATGACCGCTTTGGAAGTCAAGCCTACCCAGTGCCGTCGTAGTGGAGATGTGCCCACCCACCATATCCACGTCAGGCTCCAGCTCAAATGTCGACGCGCACCTGCGGCGTTTCCCGTCGGGGCGTCGACAAGACTTGAGCCTGAGTTGCTCCCCCCATGGAAGTTCCCTCAGGACATTGCATTCTAACGCCGTCGCGCTACTCTGTGTCCGTGGGGTCCTCGACCAATCCTCCAACCCGGCTCCGCTCTCACCTCAGTCTGGCGCGCGCAAGCCCCGACGGCCTGCAAGGCAGCGTGTCCAGCCTCCGCTTGAGGTGGTCAGTGTATGCCTGCAACCTGCACCGTTTGCACCTCACTCTGGTGCGTTCAGCATCTCCCGCCGTAAGGCAGGCCATGCCGTCGACATCGATGTGGGCGATGGCAGTGGGCGCAGCGGGGGGCAGCGAAGCCCGAGGCTCATCAGGCGGGGCACTCCAAGCTCTGACCTCGCTGACCCTGGCCGCTGCCCACGCAACAAACTGTGTCACCTTGACGGCCATGGCGAATTTGAGCTCGATGGCCCGCTCGAACCCAAGGCCAGGGCAGGTCTCCACGATCGCCCGTGTGGCAAAAAAATCGGCCCACGCGTTGCCCGCCATTTGCAGCAGGTGCAAGTCCAGATCAGCCGACTGCTCCACGTCCTCGGCCTCTCTTGCTGCCCTCCTGGTCTGGACTCCAGCACGTTGCGCATTTTTCACCACGGGCTGGCAGGCAGTCCACACGCTCCTGCATCCTGTGGGTCCCAGCGAGCAGCTTCAACGGCCAGCGATTGGTGGTCGGTGACTATGCAGTCCACAAGCGGGCCCTGTCGCACTCACTGCAACGCTGCATACCGCTCGGCGCGTGGCAGTCTGGAAAGGCTGCAGTGCGGGGACCGTGCCGTAGCGGGCCCGGATGGGCCAACCCCCCTACGTGGTATGCCCGATGGCCCAGCTGCACTCAGTGATCTCGGGTGTCTTGTGAGCGTAAGAGCCGCTGTCTGTGTAGACCGTGCCTCTCCAAGGCATCTGGTGCTGTCCCCGATGGTGCGCCACATCGGTCGGTCGCGGAGGGATGAACTGCGGCTCGGGCACGACAGGCAATCCAAGAGCAGCCTCCAACGTGTTGCGGGCGTCGCGACCACGTTCGACCAGGGCGCGACATACTGGCTGGTGGCGCTCGGGGATGGCCTCCTGAGCCTCTGGCTCGCGGTCGCCCTTGCGCTCCAGGCTCGTCCGACTCCACAAGCGCCCCACACGCCTGGTACTGGCAGTCCCGCGTGAGCCCCCGTCTGCAGCGCTGCGCTCTGGTCCACATGGCGCCATTCCAGAGCGCCTGGAGCGCACCACGCTGCTTAGACTCGCTCACCGCCCCGCGCCCTTGCACGCTGGCGCGCATGCAACGCGTCCAGGGCTCCTGCTCACCGTCCCACTCCTGATGATGCTGCTGCACCTGCCGCCGCTGCCAACGTCACGTCGAACACCCGCAATCAGCAGCGCGCGCACCTGCCGTGGACACAGCTTTACAGCGAGGCGGGCTCGCCTCTGACGTCGACGAACGCGTAGGCCGCGACGAAGTTCCAGCCGATCCTCTGCAAGGTGAGCTCAGCCACCGCGATTGGCCCCGCGACCGCAGCCCAGGTTGGCGCTGAGGTGAGCCCGGCATTGATGGCCGACCACGCCGCCCGGGCCTCCGACATCCAGCGCCTGACTGCACACGCAGCAAACATCGGGTCGTAGCATGGGTCATCCTGCACGAGAAAGGGTGGGCGACGCCGCAAGCTTGGCACCCGCAACCGCACCTGGAAAGCTATGCGCCTCCTTGAGCACCTCCGAGGCGATCCCGCTGACGGCGGCACCGTGCAGCGTGAACGGCGTGAGGCCCGTGCTTTACAGCTGGGTGACCCTGCGCCCAACCGCTTTCTCCAGGATGCTGAGCTGCCTCTTGCATGTGTGTTATGAGTGGTATGTGTGTTAAGCGTGTGTATGTGTGTGCGTGTGCGTGTGCGTGTGCGTGTGCGTGTGCGTGTGCGTATGTGTGTGGCTGTGGGTGTGGGTGTGGGTCTGCATGTGCGTGTGCATGTGCGTGTGCGTGTGCGTGTGCGTGTGCATGTGCGTGTGTGCGTGTGCATGTACGTGTGCGTGTGTGGGTGTGTGTGCGTGCGTGCGTGCGTGTGTGCGTGTGTGTGTGGGTGTGTGGGTGTGTGTGTGTGTGTGCGTGCGTGCGTGTGTGCGTGTGTGTGCGTGTGTGTGTGTGTGTGTATGTGTGTGTGTGTGTGCGTGCGTGCGTGTGTGCGTGCGTGCGTGATTGCGTGTGTGTGTGTGTGTGTTGTGTGTGTGTGTGTGGGTGGGTGGGTGCGTGCGTGCGTGCAAGCGCGCGCGCGTGCGTGGGTGCGTGCGGTTGTGTGTGTGTGTGTGTGTGCCTGCGTGCGTGCGTGCGTGCATGCCTGCGTGCCTGCGTGGCTGCGTGCGTGCGTGCGTTTGTGCGTGCGTGCGTGCGTGCGTGCGTGCGTGCGTGCGTGCGTGTGTGTGTGTGTGTGTGTGTGTGTCTGTGTGTGTGTGTGCGTGCGTGCGTGCGTGCGTGCGTAAATGCGTGCGTTCCTGCGTGCGTGCGTGTGTGCGTGCGTGCGTGCGTGCGTGCCTGTGTGCCTGCGTGCCTGCGGGTGTTGCTGTGGGCGTGTGTTTGTGCGTACGTGCGTGCGTGCGAGCGTGCGTGCGTGTTTTTTTTTTTGTGGTGTGTGTGTGTGTGTGTGCGTGCGTGCGTGCGTGCGTGCGTGCGTGCGTGCGTGCGTGCTGTGTGCCTGCGTGCCTGCGGGTGTTGCTGTGTGCGTGTGTTTGTGCGTACGTGCGTGCGTGCGTGCGTGCGTGCGTGTTTGAATGTGTGTGTGTGTGTGTGTGTGCGTGCGTGCGTGCGTGCGTGCGTGCGTGCCTGCCTGCGTACCTGCGTGTGTGTGTGTGTGTTGTGTGTATGTGTGTGTGCGTGTGTGTGTTGGTGTGTGTGTGTGTGTGGTGGTGTGCGTGCGTGCGTGCGTGCGTGCCTGCGTGAGTGCGTGCGTGCGTGTTTGTGTATGTGTGTTTGTGTTAATGTTCGTGTTAGTGTTTGTGTTTGCGTGCGTGCGTGCGTGATTGCGTGCGTGTGTGTGTGTCGGTGTGTGTGTGTGTCTGTGTTTCCGTGCGTGCGTGCGTGCATGCGTGCGTTTGTGTGCGCGCGTGCGTGTGAGTGTGTTTGCGTGCGTGCGTGCGTGCCTGCGTGCGTGCGTGCGTGCGTGCCTTCGTGCGTGCGTGCGTGCGTGCGTGCGTGCGTGTGTGTGTGTGTGTTTGCGTGCGTGCGTGCGTGCGTGCCTTTTGCGTGCGTACGTGCGTGTGTGCATGTCTGCGTGCCTGCGCGTGCGTGCGTGTGTGTGTGTGTGTGTGTGTGCGTGTGTTGTGTGCGTGCGTTCCTGCGTGTGTGCGTGCGTGCCTGCGTGCGTGCGTGCGTGCGTGCGTGAGTGTGTGTGAGTGTGCGCGTGTGCGTGCGTGCGTGCGTGTATGCCTGCGTGCGTGCGTGCGTGCGTGTTGTGTGTTTGCGTGCGTGCGTGCCTTTTGCGTGCGTGCGTGAGTGCGTGCGTGCGTGCGTGCGTGCGTGTGTGTGTGTGCGTACATGCGTGCGTGCGTGCGTGCGTGCCTGCGTGCGTGCGTACGTGCGTGGGTGCGTGCGTGCGTGCGTGCGTGCGTGCGTGTGTGGGTGTGTGTGAAAGAGAGAGAGAGAGAGAGAGAAAAACAAAAAAAGAGTTTGTGTGTGTGTTCATTTGTGTGTCCATGTGCCTGCTCACCATTCCTGTGCGCTGCGCGCTTCGATGCTGCCGCTCGGGGTGGTTGCACGGCACAGCTTCGCTGCCTGTGCCCGCTGACTCCGCATGCATCTCCCTCGTTCCGTCCTGACCTCGTTTGGTACACGCACTCGTCTGCCACTGTTCCAAATACGGCCCTCACCTCGGCCCGCCTCGTACATGGAAGAGCCCTGTCTTCGCAGTGAGGGATCACAGGCACAGTAAGCAAGATATCGGCCTGGGGAAGCCGCCGCTGTTGTCTTTTCTGGCCAGGATGACGAGGCAACTCTAGCTGTGATGACGAGAAGCCGTCCCGAGGCAGCAGAAAGAGAACAAAAACTCCCAATCCTCGATCCTCGAAAACCAATCCTCGAAGATCCTCCTCCTCCTCCGCCTCCTCCTCCTCCTCGTCCCCGGCTCTGCGTCTTCCTCCTTCTCCCCCTTTTTCTCTTCCTCCTCTTCCCCAGCTCTCTCTCTCTCCTCCTCATCCTTGGCCCTCCCTCTGGCGACCTGCTGGCGCGGCCAGGGCTCCAGAACATGGTGCCGCAGGAGGGTCCTACGCAGCGGCCTCGACAGACCTCGATCCCCGGGAGCGATGAAGAAACAAAGGGGAGCAGGAGGAGGAAGAGGAGGACGAGGAGGGGGAGGAGGCGGTGGGGGAGGAGAAAAGAGGAAGAGAGGAGGAGAAACAAAAAGAGAATGAGGGAGGAGATAGGAGGGGGAGCTGGAACCAGGCGGGGCGGCCGGGCGCGGGGAGGGGCGCCCCGGCCTGGCGCGCCCGCGCGCTGCCAGCTGCGAAACGGAGGGGATCAGGCGAATGAGGGGGGGACAGTTCGCATTGCTCTCAAAAGGAAGGGGAACCGGAAGGAACAGGACGGAGGAAGGAAGGGAACGATAAGTGTTCGACCCTGCCGCTCTAGAATAAGTGCATTGTACAATCGGCCGCGGTCTCGGCGGGCACATTGCGGACGCCCAGGGGGCGAGAGCGCAGCAGGAAGGAGAAAGGGGGGGTAAGGAGGAAGGAGGAGGAAGGAGGAAGGAGGAGGAAGGAGTGCAAGTACCCAAAGAGGAAGAGACGAGGGCAAGCGGGCAAGAAGCGAGACGAGGGCAAAGACTGTCCGCTCCTGTCCGACTACCGCACGACTACTTCCAGAGCAATGCTATGATGGCCCACGACACTTCAGCTATCGAAGCTGGGGTCGGTGCGGCGTGCTTCATTTCGTAAAAGCAGTTGAAGGTGAGCGCAATCCACTGCATCAACTGCATCAACGAGATCTCGTTTGCAGGCTCAGACGGATAGGCTGCGACGGGGCCAGAGTCCCAAGTAGCAAGCGCATTGTGGAGGTTGGGCGAGACGGTGGAGCAGGGGGGGCTCAAGAGGACCGAGTGGGCGAGGTAGTGGGGGAATGAATCGGGTGCAACTGGGCACCCTACCACGAACGACTTCTGCAGGTGAACGTGCATGCAATGGGTCGTCGCCCATTCACCTGCGAGTGTCTTATATGCCGTCCAGCGATAGATCACGCGGACAGGGCGCGCGGCATTCGTGCGAGCGTTGCAGCGCGTGGCGAGCTCTGAGAGCGGATGCGGCTGATGGAATCCCCAGGCTGCGATGCACTTCGCGAGCGTGACTGAGAATGGCAATGGGAAGGAGGCCCGCTGGAGCGTGAGCGCAGCCGCGCGCTGCGCCTTTGGGCGGTGCGGTGGCTCAGCACTCGGGGCCTCATGGAATTCGCCGGCAGCTGCGCGGTTAGCCCCGGCCGCGGCAGCTGCAGGCAACGGATCGGCGCTGAAGAGTAGCTCCCGTTCTCCACGGGGTGTGAAAGTGGCCGAGCGAGCGGCAGCGGCGACGGCTGAAATCTGAGCTGAGAGCGGGGCAGAAGGCGGGCACCAGACAGCAATAGTACGAATCTCTACTTTGCGAAATGCGGCAGGCAGGAGATTGCGCAACTTAAGGAAATGGAATGTTCACTGCGGGCGAGCTTCTGATTGGGCGGAATGGACTGCGAGAAATAGCTGAGCACTGATACGACCGTTGCATTATGTAGGCGAGCGGTGGCAACACTGCCACTCTGCGTGAGCTGACAAGAATTCGACGCAGGCGTGGCGACGGCCCACATGCGGGGCTTCGCGGGGAGGGGCGCAATCAGCTGAGCTGCGGCACAGGGCTCACTGTCGGCGCACAGCGCGTTGAGCGAGAGCGCGGGGAGGCCAGTGTCGACGGCGCAGCCGCCCAAGAAGCGTTTGCCGTAGTCGCGCATGCCGCTGTAGGTCTTGACGAACGAGGCGGTGTGGCGAGCGGGCAGGTCCATGGCAAACACCCATGCCGAGCCGCCCACTGGGTCGCCCTGGGCCACCCCGAAATCGAGCGGGAACATGAAGTAATGAACGCCATCAGCTTGAAGGAAGCTGTAGGGGGCGAGGTCCAGCTGGCGAGAGAGGTTCATCAGTCCTTCTATGGCACCGAGGTACTCCAGCGACGCGAGGGGCCAGCCGCAGCCGAGGGGCAGGGGCGCAGCCGCGAAGTCGAGGCTGTTGAAGACGAGCATGTGCTTGTCGGCCTCTGGTAGAACTCCAGCTCGTCGCATCTCGATGCCGAAGTTGACGGCGCGCTTGGTGAGATTGCGGCCCGCGACAGGGCCATGCTGCGAGTAATGAGTCCGCTCTGCCACAGCGGTTTTGGCGGGGAAGTTGGCCGCCTCAGCGATGGCCTTGATATCGGTGTACTTGAGGGGCCGCGGGCAGGTGTCCACAGTGAGGCAATCCGTGGTGAGCTCGCCTGCGAGGTTGTAACCCTTCGGCAGGATCGCGTGGTCGGAGTCGTTCAGGTCGAGGATGAGGATGGGGTTGGGGCATGGATGCCAGATGAGGTCCTCCATCAGGTCCATGGGCTCGTCGAAGGCAAGCTGGTCGCAGCGCGGCAGGGGGGGCGAGCCCGTGAACGGACAGCAGAGCGCGGAGCAGAGAGACACTGATGTGCAGCTTGGCGAGCGCGCCGACGACAGTGAGGGGGCGGCTGAGCATGCGCGTGGCGATGCATTGCTGGGTCTCGATGTCGCAGTACAACGTGTCCGTCATCATCTTGGACTCGGCAGAGGCCTTGAGAGCGAGGAGACCGACGACGTTGGCGGAGAACTTGGCGGCGATCTCGGTGGCGGAGCGCAGGCGCCAGACGAGGCGAGTGTCCTGCCGCCAGACCGCGCAATGATGGCTAGACGCGCCACGTGGCCTCCGCCGTGTCCGTGAAGAGCGAATGAAACGACGAGAGGATGGCTCCGCGCTCAAGGTCGCGGAAAATGGCATACTCAAACGCCTTCTCGTTCCACTCCAGGATGGCGGGGTCGGCCTGGCCCTTGACGTCGAGGCGCGCAACTGGCATGGCGTTGCAGTGGATCTCGCCCTTGGCTCGGTAGGCTCCCCAAGACTTCTGCGGATGCCGATGTTGAGGGGGCTGGGGGAGTTTCTTACATTGGAGCTCGGTGCGAATCTGTTTAGGTGACTTGTCAGGGTTGAGGAAGATGTCCGTTGGTGTGCCCGAGGCGTCGACAGATGTGAAGCGCTTCCACCTGCCTCCCGCGTCGCGAAGGGCTCGTGAGACCGCCGTGGCGCGCGGGATGGCCACATCTCGCCCTCCTTTGACTTGAAGCACAAATCTACGAACGGGCGCGTCCCCGTGAAGTTCGACAGAGTCTGATCTCAGGCTGGCGAAGGCGATCCACTCCTGAAGGTTATTGGGGAGCACGTCGGGCGCGATGAGCCGCTGAGCCCCGATGGTGAAGATCGCGGGGTCGATCTCGCGGCCCCAATCGGCGAGCTTGGTGAGATCCGTGATCGGCGCCTGGGCCTCAGCAAGCGCGAGGGTCTCACGCATCTGGTCGATCTGCAGCCACATCTTCTTGTGTTCCTCAGCCTGGCGATCTTGTTCCCTGCGAGTGCGGGCGACAACATCATGGAGGGTGTCGACTCGTCGCTCGGTGGCTTGAACTTGTTGTGCGAGCAGCTGGCGGAAGCTTCCGCGTGAACCATTGAGCAAAATGTTGGCTTGAACCTGATATGTACTAGCAGCGTGTGCAACTTGAGCTTGCATGAGATCTTGACGAGCTTTGTCGAGATCCGGGGTCCAGACCTGGTAGACGAATGGGGGTGCCTGGCATGGCAGTGTCGGTATCGGCGGTGGTTCCGACGGCGGGAGCTCCTCCATCGGCTGCTGCGCCTCCAGGGTGCCACGGGCCAGCGGCAGCGAGAGGAACGTGACGTAGAGCTTCACCAGGAGGCTGCGGAGGCACAACCCCTTTACCTGCTTGAAATTGGCGTGCATTGCGGCGGCAGCAGCGCGTGCTGGAGCTGCAGCTTCTTCTCCTCCAGTGTCCATGGCGATGAGAGGTGGCTGATGGTGTGAACGAGCGGATGGGCGACATGAGCGGGCGGCATGTCCAGATGCGCGGCCCGACCGCGGTGCCTCCTGAGTAGCGGGGGCGGCGTCGTCGAGCGAGAACATGGTGGGGAGCCCTGCAGCTGCTCGCCCACTTTTATCAGCACGGTCAGGGGGAGCTCGTGCAGCGCGATCTTGACCGAGACGTTCACGCTCTCGGCGGCGGGCTTTCCTTCTTCGGCTGGCCGATGGGGCGTTTCGGGAGGTAGAGCGGTCTTCACTAGAAGATGGCATGGCTGATGCTGATGACTGCTGGCGAGCGAGCTGCTGTTCTGCTTCAGGGAGTGGATGGTGAGAGCAACGGACTCCAGGGCCTTCGCAGGACCACCACGTGGAAGAAACCGTGGGTGGGGAACGAGCAAGTCGACGTCCAGCGGGCTATGGATGTGGGCGACGGCGACGTCGGACGGGCCGAAGTCCAGCTTGTGCGCGGCGACGGGAAACGGAATGCACGACAGCGCAATATGAGAGGCAGCCTGCAGTGCCAGCACAATGATCAAGGATGGGCGGCCGCAAGCCCCTGAGTGTGGCGGCAGAAAGCTTGGGTGCCAGCTAACCCCTGGTGGTGGCTGGAAACAATTGGGATCTGGCCTCGGATCAGAGGTCTCCATGCGGCCGCAGCGCGACATGGTGACTTGAGCCAAAATGGCTACGGAGAAGGAGGAGGAAGGAGGAGGAGCAGGAGTAGGGGGATGAGGATGAGAACGAGGATGGGGAGGGGGAAGGAGGAGGAGGAGGAGGAGGAGGAGGAGGAGGAAGAGGACGAGGGGGGGGAGGAGGAGGGAACGGTGAAGGAGTACCAGTGCAAACCCAAGATGCATCAGCGATGCTGCAATCAACCAGCCGTCCAAATGCCCTCTTCATAGGCCCCTTACAAGAACTATGGACATTGCGGGAAATGCCCCATTGTAAGACAACCGCCTGAGAACCCTCAGTCGTGTCAAATTGCCCTTCCTGGGACGTCAGCGCCGCGAATCACACGACTGTTGCGTCCTGATATTCACAAGCCGCGCCAGGACACCATTCCTGGGACTTCAACACCGCGAATGAACATGGCTGTTGCGTCTTGGCGATCTCAAATCGCGCTAGAAAGCAAATCCTGGGACTTCAACCGTACGAATCCTTGAAACTGTTGCGAACGTGCGAAGTCAATATGCAAAGGGCTGAGACGAGAGGCGCATGTTGAAACTGACCTTAAGACGAATGTGCGCGGCGCTAAAGCGAGAACCACATGTTGAACACGGACCGCCCTCCATCTGTGAAACTGGAGCACACATGTAAAACGAATGCGGCGAGAACAACCGTTTCAAAAACGTGCCACCCTCCATCCGTGAAGCTGCTGCAACAATCAAGCTTCAGGATCACAACTAAGGAGGAAGATCAAACGAAACGCCCGCCCCACCCTACCGACACGTCTGGGGGTGTGACAGGGAGGACCCATGTTCAAAGAAAAGGATTGGGGAGAAGGAGAAGGGGGGAGGAAAGAGGAGAAGGAGGAAGAGGAAGAAATGGACGTGGTGGAGAAAGGAGGGTAGAGGAGGAGAAAGAATAACGAGGGAGAAAGGAGGAAGGCGGGAGGAAGAGCGCAACAACAAGGATGATAACAAAGGGGGGGGGCGTGGCCGGGTGGGGGATGGCGTTTGCGCTCCTGCTCCCCGGCCCCCTCGCGAATGGACGCAGGCGAAGCGGCTGTGGCAAGGAATGGCGAACAATGGTGATGGTGATGATGATGCCGGTGGTGGTGATGATGATGGTGGTGATGATGGCGGGTAGGATGCTCATAATGGTATTGGTGGTGGTAAATGTCATGGTGTTGATGATGTCGGCGGTGATGTTGGTGATGATGATAATGACTAAAAAGGTAATGGTGATGATGGTGGTGGTAATAATGGTGGTGGTGGTGATGACGATGACGGTAATGATGGTGATCGTGATGATGCGGATACTGATTATGGTGCTGACGATGGTGATGCGGATGGTGATGGTGATTGTGGTGATGAGGGAAATAATGATGATGATGATGGTTATGATGGTGGTCGTTATGATGATGGTGATGATGGAGATGATGATGGTTTTGGCGATGATGATGATGGTGGTGGTGATGATGGTGCTGACGATGGTGATGATGATGATGGCGATGCTGACGGTAATGATGGTCATGGTGGTGATGATGATGATGGCGGTGGTAACGATGATGGTGGTGGCGGTGATGATGGTGGTGAGGATGATGATGCTGATGATGGTGATGCTGCGGGTGGTGATGATGGGAATGATGATAGCAATGATGAAAATGAGGATGGCACTGATGAGGGTGCTAATGGCTGTCATTCTGATGAAGGCGGTGATGATGAGGCTTGTGATGATGATGGTGACGGAGGTGAGGATGATGATGATGGAGATGATGATACGGTGGTGGTGATGATGGTGATGATGGTGGCGGTGATGTTGGTGGTGATGGTGATGATGGTAATGATGAGGGTCATGGTGGTAATGGTGATGTTGCTGCTGCTGGTGATGATGGTGGCCTCGTTGGTAATTATGGTGATGCGGTTGTTGGTGGTGATGGCGGCGATGATGATAATGATGGTGGTAATGATGATGCTGATGCGGATGGTGGTGGTGATGGTGACGGTGGCAGTGCTGATGATTGGCATGCGAATGATGATGGTAATGCTGGTTCTGTTGATGGTCATGCTGGTGATGATGGTAGTAATGGGGATGCTGATGATAAACGTATTGCTGATGGTGGGTATGATGAGGAATCTGATGGCGATACTGATGACAGTGGTGCTGGTGATGGTGGTGATGCTGCTGGTGGTAATGGTGATGGTGGCGATGATGATCTACTCGCCGTTCAGTGTCCAAGTCTCTTCACGCGCGCCCGCAGCTGAGAACAAATCTGCGATGACGTCGTTTCCCCATCTTTTTTTGGCGCGCAGGAAAATGAACGCTGACATCGCAAGGTCATGCGCGAGCAGAGGAATTTTCAGAGCCGCGGCCTCAAGATGCTGCCGAAAACAAAACGGCAGTCTATCATCGGGCGACCACGCGCAATAACCTTCCGAAAGACCTGGGAGGAGACGAGGAAACTGAAAAAGCAACAGCGGACACGAAAGATAATGCAATACACTGTCGCCCACCATCGCGAGGCACCCGAAACTGCATATCCTGACGGCCTGGTGGTGCCTGGCAGCGGTGCTCCATCCCTTTGGGATGGACCGCAAGTGCGCAACTCAGACAGGAGGGGCCGCGCTGGAGGCGACTTGCAGATAACTGAACACTTGGTCAGGATGCCCGATCTGAACACCGGCCCGAAACTTCTTAACGCTAGGCATGAGTGCAACGGACGCGGAGGGGCAACTCCGGGAGTCTCGGAACTCCAGCCTCTCGAGGATCTTCTTGCGAAGGCGAGCTTCGTCGGGGTCTGAGGGGGTCGGCGGTGCACTCTGGGACCTCTCGCGCACGGAGCACAGGGGTGATGCGATGGACTCCTGAACCCAATCGAGCCTGCGGGGAACAACGCGACGGTCAACTTGATAATCTCTGAGCTCGCGCCAGCGGTGATAGATCCCAGGGAAAATCACGGACCTCAGACCGACTCTGTACATCGCGGCCTGGTTTTCGAGGCACACAAAGCGGAACTGCACAGGGAAACCGGTCTGGTCGGTGCCAGCAAGCTCGCGGGCGGGGATTGCCCAGCGCGGGCCTGCCGTGAGAAGCTGATGATCTGCGCGCCCTTCGCAAAGCACCGCAGGAGGTACAGGGAAAAACTGAACAGGGAAGCAGAGCAGGGACAGGCCAGACGATGATGATCATGGTGGTGGTGATGATGCTGCTGATGATGCAAAGGATCATGATGCGGAACATGATGAAAATAATGATGGTGGTGATGATGGTGGTGTTGATGGAGATGATGCTAATAAAACTGGTGATGATATTAATTGATGCTGATGGTGGTGGTGGTGTCGATGATGATGAATACTACCATGATGGTGGTGCTGATGATGACAACGATGCCCGTACCAGCTGCGGCCAGCAGGGTGTTTACTGACCGAGACGCGCGACAGCCATCGCCAGGCGTTCCGTCAGCGCATGGAGTACTCGGAAATCCTGTTGTTGACGTGCAAAGGGAAGTTCTTGGATATGTCCGTGTTTCAGCTTGTGGCATGTTTCGAACGCTATCAAAACCGGGTAGAGGTCGTCGGGCCGCTTGGCGTGGAGACCGATGCAGTCGAATCTCCGGGCAGGATGGGCCGCGCCCAGCGCGGAGCGCACAGTGGACCACAACGGCAGGCAGTCGGCGTAGTGGGGCCATTCGTCCTTCGCTGTGCAGCCGAAAAGGCACAGGTGCACCGCGCTCTCACGCATCCTCGCGCAGGACGTCCATCCGCCCATCCTAGTTTCCAGTGGCGAAGTCGAGATACGAGTGCGAGATGTCCTCATAATGGCAATGAAGGCGTCGAAATCGACGCCATTGGTGTCGCTGGCCTGCTCCGGCCAGCGGCGGCGCAGGCGGGCCTCGAGCATGTCCCGGGTGCTCGGCTGGAAAACAATGTTTTACAGCATCACGTGCATTCTCTTCTGCGCGCCCTCCGCGAATCTGGGCCCTCGGTGACCTCGCTGGCAGCGGCGGCCGCGGCCCTCTGAAGGTCTTTGAAAACAGGCAAAGGTTGTTCAGTAGCAGCGCGCTCGAGGGCCCATGGAAGCCCGGCGCCCGGCAGCGCGGGGCCCACGGCTCCGGGCGACCAAGACGAGCAAGAGAACAATCCGGAGCAGCCTGGTCGGCAGTCCGCCGAACCTCGGCCAGGGGCGTCTCCCAGTCGTGCGCGATGAGCGCGGCGCGGATCAGCGCGGCGACGCAAGCCAGGGAGACGGAGACGACGTCGACGGCGCCGAACTCCGAGGCGCGAAACATTCCACGGGTAGTGAAGGTAGACGGCGGAACGTGCCAAAGCTTGTTGATGACGCCGGTTTCCGCCAGCACGAGAGCGCGCGGCGGGAACTCGAATTGGGCGACGTGCAGCGTGTAAGGAACGGCTTTGATATTGTACTCCTTGATGGTGGCGGTGGTGGGGCCCTTGGCCTCGGCGCGCGCGTCGGCTCGCTGCTGCTGCTGCTTCCTCGTCGGTTCCCCCCGCATCTCGTCCGCGACGTTAGGGCCCATAAGATAACCGAGGTAAGACGCGACCCTCACGATGGCCAACTGGACCCACTCTGGGACGAGCGCCTGCAGCTGGTCACCGATCGGCTCGACCATCTGGGCAGCGAGCGCAGCGAAGAGAGGAATGAATAAGTGGGCGAACGCGCCGAACATGAAAGCCGCATTAAGGTGGTAGACGACCGGGAAGAACTCGAGGGTGCCGCGCGGCGTGCCGAGCGCTGCAAATCACGCCCAAAACCACCTGCGCCGCAAGCTGGGGAAGGCAGCGGCGATGTCCCAGAAGGCGAGGACAGGCAGGAGGCGCGCGTTCGATGGGTGGCCGCAGGCCCGGGCGGCGCAGTCGAGGTCGACGATGTCCCGGGCCAACTGTCTTCGAGCAGCGACGCCCCGCCGGAAAACAGAGACGCCCAAGGAGGCGGCGTTCCTCAGCACGATGACGACAATGCTACAACAGGTTTTGTCGCCGGCGCTTTCGAGACTCAACGGTCTAGTGTCTTCTGGCTTCCGGATGACCTCGGCGGCCTCGCCTGCCTCAGAATCTTTCGGCGAGCATGTGGGGCGTGACTTGGAGGAGCGCCTCCGCGCCCCAGTCGCCCGCGTGTTGCCAGGAGGAGGAGGCGAGGCCGTTGGGGCCAAGGCTTGAGTCGGACGCACTCTTGAGGGAGCTCTTGATGAGGTGCGTGGAGGGCGCCGGCGCCAAACTCCAATCGAGCGGGACCGCCCGCCGTTTGAGGATCTCTGCAGTGGCGGGGCCGTTGGTGAACTGCTTCCCGATGTGCGCAGCCCATGCGGTGGCCAACGATTCGGCCCGGTCCTGCGGGTGGCGGATGAGCGGGCCACCGCTGAGAGGGTTCGGAACCAGGAGTGCTCCAAGAACAAGCTTCTTCGAATACGAAAGATGCAACTTACCTTTGCTCTTCATGGCGCGCGCCCAGGAGCGGAGCCTCCTGGCGATCGATGGGGAAGAGCGCGACGCGGAATCTTGCTCAAGACGGTCAGCTTCAGCAGCAACGCTGGCGGCAGCGACCTCGTCGAAGGCGTCGGCGAAACCTGGGGGATCGCGCGGGGCGACGCGCCCCTCGTCAACAGAGACAAAGTTGCGACCCTTCGAGAAATTTGTGAGAACTGCCTTGGCTAGATCACAGTCGCCCTGCCGAACCGCTCGCGCCAGGGAGGCCATGGCGAGCATTTGCGCGAGGTCGGCGTCAGGGGCGGTCTTCAAGATCCTGTTGCGCAGGACGCGGCCCGTCTCACGTATGATTTCCTCGTGGCCCCCCCACCGTGCGACCGCGGGCGAAGCAGACAAGTTGACGTTCATGCACATCGTATCGTGAAATTCGCGAAAACGGGATGAAGAGCCACATCTCGAGGAATGACTTGGCGATGAGCTGGTCGCGCGGGCCTCGGGCCGATGAGGGCCGCGACGGCAGCGTGGTCACTGATCTTCTGCAGGCGAAGCCGCAGAGGGTCGTCGAGCGCCGTGATCGTGACCTGGGCGGAGCCAATGGCCCAAGAAGGGGTCGAACTGCATATGCGGCCCAAGCGGGCGTACTTGCCGTTTGCGAGGTGTGTGGCTTCAGGAGTATCGTAAGCCGTGTAGAGGTCAATAAGGCGCTTCCGGATTGAAACGCGCTGCGGACAATGGTGGCGCTCACGGGCACGGGGGCCCCGGACAACTTGAACACGCTCATCTTCGTCTATAAAGCTCCAATCGCCGAGGGGCTTGGAGAGAGGGTCGGCCTCAGCAGAAGTAGTGTCAGCGATTGCGAGGTTCTTGATGTTAGCGAGGTCGCGGTCGTTGATGTTGAAATTGTGGACAGCCCAGGCGGTCGAAGTGTATTTGCCAGCGTTCGCAAGAATGCGAACGACTCTTTTTTCTGCAAGTACGTCGCACTCGGGAGGGGTTCCGGCTAGAGTCCAATATTTCCTTACCATGGCGATGACACTGCCAGAGTTTCGGGATCCGGGTGCACCTGCGATCCACCATTCGCGCGCCACGTCGGGGAGCAGCGACTGGAAGGCCTCGACGGTGCAGTGGGCTTCGGCAATGAAAATGGCGGTGTTCGTCTTGAGGAGACGCCGGAGGTAGTCGATTTTGTCCCTGCGCTGGTAGTGCCTGCTGGTGTACAAGCCCTGGCCATTCCCAAAAAACAAAACCGACGCCGGCGGAAGAGGCCCCTGCAGGGCCCCACGATCTGTTACCCGTCCCACGTGATGTCCGCGAAGCGGCCCTTCCCGTACTCGGCAATCTTCCCGAAGACGGCGTCCTTGTCGATCTTGTGGGACTCGCACACGGTGAACCACCAATTGTAGTAGATCTCGCCGGGCTTAAGGGAAAGTGCCCGGGCGACGGGGTCGGAGTCGACGAATAAAATACCATCGGAACGTGCAATGCGCAGTTTTCCGCCCAAAGCGGGGTACAGGGTGAGGACGGCTTTGCGCAATTGGCGCAGGAGGCTCTGGTTGCGCTCGGTCTTCGGGTTCTTCTTGTTGGGGCTGACGAAAAGGTTGGCAGTCTCGGTGCCGTTGGCGGCCGGGCATTGTAGCTTAGTCCACTCGCCGGCCCTCCGCTGGGCAGAGAATGTGCGGGTGGCGTTGATGGCAGCGCTGCAACCCTTGAAACGGATCTCGAAGGAGCGTCCGGCCGGTGGGCCGCAGATGGAGGCCTGGTCTTCACCGATATTGGCGGTCTTGAGAAGCTCGGAGAACAAGCTCCAGACGGCCGTCTTGGCGGCTTAGGCGGAGCAGCGGACCTTGAGGATCGAAGGGTCAGGCATGTCGTCGTCGCCAAGCTCGGCAAGCACGTCGGGAGTGGGCCATTCCCGCTTCTCCGCGAGGTTGAGGCGCCGTTTGATGTCAGCGAGCTCCTTCTCCAGGATGTTGTACTCCTCTCCGAGTCGCTTGTGAGGTCGCTGAGCTGCTTGTCCATGTTGTTCTGGCGTAGGGTGAGCTCCGCGATGTGTTTTTGCAGCTTGGCGTCGTAGGTCTTGAGGAGTTGCCCAACGTGTTCGCGTTGTGAGCGGTTGAAATCCTCAAGCGACTTCTGGAAGGAGTCATTTTGCTTCTTCTCGAGATCGTCGAGAAGTTGCCGAAAGAAATTTTTGGTGGCACGGAGCGGCGGCGCGTTAGCGTCGGGGCCGTCTCCTTGTTGCCGCCGCGGGCTCCGTGATTATGGTCCCTCGCGTGCAGCAGCGGATGCGGACTCGCCCATGCTGTCAGCACGAGCGTGAACGTGTAGAAGCCGATCGAGTTCTTGAGGATGGTCACCGTGAACGGCTTCAGCAGAAGCTGCCAGGCTGCAATGCCAGGCAGCGCGGCGGGGCGCCGGGGGGGGGGGCGCGGCGCGGCGCGGGCACCCGAGCACTTGAGCCAAAATGGTGCTGATGGTGCTGCGATGATTCTGATGATGATGATGATGATGATGATGATGATGATGCTGATGATGATGATGATGATGATGATGATGATGATGATGATGATGTTGATGATGATAATGATGATGATTGGTAGCTCGAGATGCCAGAGGAAACCTTCTCGAAGAGCATCAAAGAAACAATTTCGCTGAATTATCCATTTCACTGCAACAAACAAGCTTTGGCCTTCGCGCCTTTATCGGCTCCAATGGGCCTCTCAGACCGAAAGGCGGCCCCAAGAGGCCCCCCCCCGGCGTGGCCCCAAGAGGGCCCCAATCCCCAAGATCGTGAGGGGGAACTTTGCCTAGCGAGGGGCCCAACCCAAAGAAATCGCGTGCCGCAGGGTAAAGGGGTCTCGAGCTAAAGGTGGCGCTCCCGAAGGGGCACGATCCACACGATGTGCTCGACGATAGGAACTCCCCCGCTATGGCCCTGGGTGGACCTCCCTCTGGGCTGCGATCCGTTTCAGGGCTGCGGCGTAGAACAGGCAGAAGGAAGCATTCGAGCACGCCCACTGGGGCCGTACGTGGGGCTCCCTGGGCACGAACTGTACGAGGGGCGCGTCGAACTGGGCCACAGGTGGAGCTCACCTTGGGGCAAGATCCGTGCGAGGGGTGCGTCGAAATGGGCGGGGGGGCGTATGCGAGCAGCACGCCTGCTGGGGTCCCAGGTGGGGCCCCTGGGAAGAACGATCTGTGAAATGGGTGTGCCGAAATTGGCGAGGAGGCGCATCCGGGCACGCTCACTGGCGGCCTCAAATGGAGCTTCCTAAGGCACGATCTGGGCGAGGTGTATTTCGACATGGGCGATGGGACGCATGCCGCATGCGAGCATGTCCACGATGGAGCTCCCCATGGGGCGCGATCTGTGTGAGAGGCGTTCCAGAATGCATGAGGATGCGTAGGCGCGCCCATTGGAGCCATAAGCTTCCAATAGGGCGAGATCCATGTGGTGTGTGTTTGTGTGCAGAGATGGGCGAGGGAGCGCATGCATGCTCGCCCGCTGGAGCCTTGGGTGGAGCTCCCTTGGAGGCGCAATTCGTGCAAGGGATGTGACGAAACAGGCGAGGAGCCACATGTGGGCGCGCCCACTGGCAGAAGAGGCTTACGTAGCCAACAGGCGACTAAGAGAAGATCGCACCACAACGTCTCGGGATTTTCTGGGCCTCAAGAACGTACAGAAACAAACCGGGATGAGAAGCTGGTCCCAGGAGGGGGTGCAGAGCTGGGGGATTGAGACAGACAACCGAAAGTCTAGTTTTTTTTCCAGCTCGGATGTGGGCCAGCGATGGGCGCCCCAGCGGCCGCTCACGCGGTCCGCACCACCGACTTCTGGCTGAGGATGTCGTACGCCTCGTTGAGCGCAGCTAGCTCTTCCTCGCGCTTCTGCACGCGCTCCTCGTAGCTGACAGGCACCTGGAGACACTGCGGCTTGAGCTCCGCGTAGTACTGGTTGGCCGCGTCCAGCTGGGCCTGCTCAGCGGCCAAGTCCTTCTCCAGCTCGCCCTTGTCGAACTCGGCCTGGTCCATGTCGAGCTTCGTCTGCACCTCCTCCTCGTGTTTCTTCTTCTTGGTGGCCTCGGATTCGGCCATGAACGCGGCGTACTCCTTCGCTGCCTGCGCCTCGGCCGCCGTCGTGTCAGCCTCCAGGCGCATGAAGTCGGTCTGGATGACCTCAAGCATCCCGATTACACCACCGCCGGACATGCCCTTGTACGCCGCCATCTCGGGCACCTGCTTGCCCCTCTGCAGGAAAGACGCCTGCGAAGAGTAGAACTCCTGCAGAATGCTCAACGCGCTCGCCACGGCGGCGGAACCCGCCTTGGCATCCGCGATGGTGTCCAAATTCTCGGCCTTTTCCTTCTGCCGGATCTCGGTGGCTTCGGACATTGCCTTGGTCAGGTCGGCCTGCTCCTGGATCAGCACATCGATCCGCGCGCCCATGTCGGCGATCTCGCCCGTCAGCTTCGCGATCTCGGCCGTGAGCTTCTCTACGGCCGCGGTCTTCGCGTCACGCTTGTGCTTGTTCTCCTTGAGCTGCTCGTCGCACCACGCCTTGTGCTCAGCCTCGGCCGCGGCCTGGGCCTTCAGCTTCTCGAGCAGGTCTTCGACCATCGTGATCACCTTCGCGAAAGGGTTCTCGGAGGAGCTGCCCATCACCCTGGCGAGCTCGGCGAGCGTGTTCGAGTTCAGTGCCGCGGCGCGCCTCTGCAAGAACTCTGTGGCCTGCTGGCGCGCGGCGGCGCGCCCGGTCCGGGTGCCGCCGGTCTGGAGGAAGTTGGCCGCCTTGTGGGGAGAGACCTGCGCGAGCTCTGCGTTGATGTGCTCCCCGTAGCTGCCTGCCACATCCGGGTTGGCGATGATTTCGATGGCCTTCGCAAGAGCCTCCAGCTCCTGCTTGCGCACACCCTGGTTCACGTCGTACTGCGAGTGCTTCTCCTCGTAGGTCGCGGTGACGTGCGCCAAGAACGTCTTGTCGTCCGACAAGTCCGACTTGGCCTGCGCCAGCTTGCCCTGCGCCGTCGCGGAGGCCGCCTCGGTGTCGGCCTTATCCTCGGCCTTCCGTTCGCGCTCCGCGCTGAGCTGCTTGATCGAGTTGGACAGGTGCTCCTCCTGCAGGTTGAACGCGTGCTGCCTGTTGTTCTCGTCCGTCTGCACCTCGTCCAGCTGGGCCTTGAACTTGTCCAGCAGCTTCTCCAGGAGGTCCATGATGCTGCTCGACTGGAACTCGTACGCGGACACCTCGGGCGCGCCGTCCTCCGACGCCCGCTCCTGCAAGAAAGCAGCCAGCGCCACGCGCAGCCCCGGCCTCTGCTTCGCCATCGTCTGCAGCAGCGACTCAGCCTGAGCCCGAGAGTAGCCCTGCGCGCCGAGCACCTGGATGGCCCGCTCCAGCGCGTCCACAGACTCAGAGTGGTCCTGCTCCACCTTCAGGAACTCGGCGTGCTGCGCATCGCGCATCTGGGTGGCCGCGGCCTTCTCGTCCTCGAGGGCGGCGATGTTTGCCTCGTCCTCCGCGATCTTCTTGGCTAGCACCGCGATCTTGTTCTCCGCGGCCTCGATGAACGCAGTCAACTTCTCGATGGTGGCCTCGCCCGTCTCGATCTCGAAATTCAGCTCCTTCTGCTTGTCGTCGACCCACTCCTGGTACTCGGCGAAGATCTTCTGCTCGTCGGCCATCATCTTTTCGCCCTTGGTCTTCATTTCGCTGAGCATGTTCAATACCTGGGGAGATGGAACGTACGGCAAGTTCGCGTCGTGCCGTCGGCGTCGGCTTCTGACGCCGCGAGGATCGCTCAAACATGAGCAGCCGCAGATTCCCGATAGCGCACATCGTCCGACATCGGCCGATTCTGGGCCACTGGCAGCGTTCAACCCTGAACGCCAATGCTATGGTCCCACCACCAGGCCTCCACGGGCCTAATTCGGGCCCAAGACCTGGTGCCACCAACCAGCCAGCCCCTGGACAGGCCAACAGGCCATGTGCACATCAGGATCTGGCCCAAAATCGGCCTGGGGATGTCCTGGGCTGGAGCCTGGGAAAGACTGGCCGCTTTCATGAGGACCCCTTTCCTGCAGACATCTGGCGCTTCGATTGTGTGATGCGTGGGCCCCTGAACCCCTCGACCACTTCCCCAAGGCCGGTGTCTCGTCCCGAGCCGCTTTCTTTGGCGGATCCAAGGCCCGCAAGGCCAAACATGGGAACAAACCTGCGGTCTCGAGTTCGTCGAGCCACTGGATCTCTGGGTTCCTTCGTGCCCACCGAAGACCTCCTGCACAGGCGTCACGGCAGAGGCGCCGACGACGGCGAGGGTGCAGGCAAAAACCACGGACTTCATTCCCTGCATGCCTCGCGTGCCCCGGGGGGGGCCGCGCGTGCGGAGGCCGTCGGCCGTAATGAACGGCCTGTGGCCAGCGGCGTCGCAACACGCCCGCGGTCGGCTTGGGGGCATGAGGGGGTGAAAGAAAGGGGGAACGGAACTGCGATCAAGTATGAGGATAAGCCTGATGAAGAATATGAGGATGTGGAGGGTGAAAGTGAAGAAGCAGAATTTCCTACTGATGATGCTGCTGATGATGGAGAAACTAATGCTGATGCTGCTGCTGGCGATGACGACGACGACGATGCCGATAATGTTGTTGAGTATGAGGACTGAACCGGCTACGATGAAACCAAACGCGGCTAAGGCTCGGAAGGGCTGGGTAACTCTCTGCCTCCCGCCTCCAAAAGGGAGGAGGAGCATCAGGGATCGAAACGTTACTGCGTTTGGGGCCTCCGCTGACCTCAGGGGCGGCATGCGACCTCTGGCGTTGTGACTCGGTCACAATAAAATCCGCCGACCCTGTCGGCGTGTGGAAGACGCATCTCGGTGTCGTCGTCTTGCGTGGATCACCGTCGTCGTCGTCGTCGTCGTCGTCGTCGTCGTCGTCGTCGTCGTCGTCGTCGTCGTCGTCTCCGTCGTGTCCTCGTCGTCTCCGTCTCCGTTGTCCCTCGTCGTCTTCGTCGTTCCCCGTCTCCTTGAGCGCGCGAGCCAAAGCGACATTGAGCAACGTCGTAGTTGAGTCGTGGCGAAGCCCCTCCCTACCCTCCCCGCCGGGGGGGGGGGGTCGCCGGGGGGGGTCGCCGGGGGGGGTCGCCACCCAGATACGCATCCTCCCCGGGGGGTCCCGGAGCTCAGAAAAGCTTCAAGACGAGCCAAGAGCGACAGAAGACACCCCCAAAAGGGTACAAGAGGGCCTCGACTCGACGAACGATGGCCCAAGACGCCCAAGACGGCCCGAAGACGGCCCAAGAGGCCCTCAAGACGCTCCAAGAGAGCCCCAAGAGCACACCCAAGAGGGCCCCAGGCGCCAAAATCGACAATTTTACATCGGTTTTTGAATGATTTTGGCCTTCTCGCCTTTTCGGCTTTCCGACACTCCAAGACGGCCCAAGAGGCCCCCAAGAGGCCCCCAAGAGCGCCCCAAGAGGCCTACAAGAGGGCCCCAAGACGGCCCAAGAAGGCCCCAGGACAGCCTAAGAGGCGCCCAAAACGGCCCAATAGGGCCCCAAGACGGGCCCAAGAAACGGCCAAAAGGGGGGCGAGGAACCGAGAATTCGAGACTTCCGCCCTAAGAGGCCCCCGGGAAGCCCCAAGAGGCCCCCAAAAGGCCCCAAGAGGCCCCCTAGCGGCGCCAAGACGCCCCCAAGATGCGCCGAAGACGGCCTCCGGAAGCCCCAAGAGGCCCAAAAGAGGCCCCAAGAGGCCCCACAACGGCCCCCAAGAGGCTTCAAGTTGCCTTCCAGACGCCCCCGAGAGGTCAACCACGAGATCCCAACCAACATCCATAAGGCCTCCTCCTCCTCCCCCTTTCACCCTTCCTCCTCCTACTCCCTTCCGCCTCCTCCTCCTCCTCCTCCTCCTCCTCCTGCCCCCCCCCTCGTGTTGTCTTTCGTCATCTTCAGGGTCGGCGGCAACGGCCGCAAGGCCTTCGCAATTCAAAAACGATGCTCCCTCACTCTCGCCCCCCTACGACCGGTTTCGGGACTCGTGGCCATAAAAAACGGCATTGGACAAAACAAACAACCTGTTCCCATGGGAAGGGGTCAGGAGCTCCATGGACACCGTTCACGACCGACAAACGTACACGTGTGAACGCTTCCGGAATCCCTCAAGAATCCCTCGGGGATGTCCAGGAATCCCTCAGGAATCCTTCAGGGATCCCCCTGGACAACGCCTCATCGGCCCCCCAGGGGGGCTGTTGGGTCATTGGCGTTGGTGTGCGCGGGGGGGGGGGCGAGCCAGCGCACGTAGTCGAAAGTGAGCCTGGTAACTCAAATAGCATCCGATTCCATGATAGACATCGGATGGCAAATAGCGTCCATCGCTCTGCTGTGATAGTACAGTATGAGGGGTGGACGGATAAGATAGGATCAGATCGATGTAATGATCTTTCCAGCACATAGCGAACACTCGCGGTGTCCGGGCAAATAGGGCGCGCGTGCCTTGGGCCAAAGGCAACGGCGCGCGCGAGCTATGCTCCCGATACAATAACATCTCCTAAAGACCTACCCTTAAAGTCGGGAGGGGAGGAGACGGAGAGCATAGTCGCACGCAAAGGTCGCGCGCACGACTGCTTGCAAAAAAGAAAACAGTGCGTACAGTCTGGCCTAACACCAGACTGCAAGGCGAGTTTCCTCGCAAAGTATTTCACGCAAATACAAGACAGCCCCTTCAAACACTGAAGGGCTATCGGCTCAGTTAGAGGTAAGCCAAACAGGCCATACCTCACCAAGCAAATGTGTATTAAAAAACAAAAAAAAAAAAGGAAAAATAAAAAGAAAAAAAAAAAAAAAAAAACAAAACCAAATAAAAAAAAAAAAAAAAAACAATTAAAAAGAACACAAAAAAAACAAAAAAAAAAAAAAAACAATAAAAAAAAAAAAAAACCACAAAAAAAAAAAACAAACAACAAAAAAAGACAATGCCCACTCCAACCAAACAAAATAAAACCACAAAAAAAACCACCCTATCAAACACCGAAAAACCCGCACATAAAACTACATAAAACAAAGGAAATAAACTAAAAAAAACAACAACCAAAAAAAAATAAAGCAGATACACAAAACACTTCAAAAAGAGCCTGAGTTGTACGAAGCCGGCTCGTTGCCAGGCGTGAAATATAAGGCTCGTTTCCGAGCAACTAGAGGGGCGCCTTTATAGTAGGCGCCCGTGCTGGCAAATTGGACCGCGAGGGCAACAAGGACAGACTAAAATTGATTAGACATAGGTTTGTCTCTGTCCTCGGGACCCCGAAAGGGAACAAATTGCTTCACGTCATACTTAAATGACTGAGTGCCTTACATCACTTCCAGAAGCAGCTCCCGATCGATGCTTCCCTTTGTATGCCCATCTGCGGTCATATCCCTAGTATCACACCATTGCACGTTATGTACTATACCTATATCCATGAGCTCACGTATCCAACTGATATGTCCAAGCAGAGTCCGTTCTGTAGGTATTTTGAGATCCCTGCTTGATAAAGATTTGTAGACGGACTCGGCGTCTATGGTAAGAGAGACTTTGATAGCTAGGCCTCCAACTTCACGCATGTCTCGTAGTTGTCGTGGAGTCAAAGCTCCTGCCTTAAGCTCGTGGAGAGTAATGAGCGTAGGGTAACACTCATCAAGGTTATGTGCGGCTGCAAGTGCCTCCGCAGCATAACTGGACCTCACCTGTAATCGGTGTGATTTGCATAGTCCGTCACAGAGGTGAACGACGGACTTGCCTTGGGGCGAGTTTCCTCGCCGTAGTACGTTGGCCCCGCGTATGCCGTAGACCTTGGTCTCGTCATCCTCCTCCCCGGTAAGCTTCCGATACCCCGAATCGCTATGGATGTCAACTTCATTCGTCGGCTTCATCCGAGGGAAGGTGATACGTTTCGGGCTGCTGATCAGCTTTCGCGTCACAGCATTCAAACGTCTGACTGGCAAATTGGTGGGCTCTTGAACTTTCTGAAGAGAGACCACATATACCATGAGCCAGATTTGGGTAAGAAGGGCATAGGCGAGGGCTCCTCGCAGGCTGACGAACATGTCGGTAATGAGTTTCGTGGCTTTGGCATCGGCCGCCGCTCCTGTAAGTTCTGGGTGTGTGATAGGACGTAGTGGTTTGATATACTCGTCCTGGCCCATGACCACATCTCCTTGATCATTCTTAGTGTAGCGAACGGCGCAGTTCGTATATGTGTGCTTGTTGAGCTTGCATTTGCCAAACACCTTTTCGACGCGTTGTACATAGTCGTCTATATTTTTCTCTAGACCTGTCATGTTAATCTCATCGACATGTTTTGCCGTCAGAAGGTCTTGGCTGAATTCAAATTCAGGATCGTAGCTGGTCGGTGTAAGTCCTATAGCTCGTGTGGTCGTACGAAGTTTGAGAGAGAACGCTCTTGGAGCGTCCTTTGTACCCGTTCATGGTTTGAGGCATCTAAGACAGTGTCGACTTTCGTCGTAGGATGAGAAGCCGGGTAATGTACGAAGTACCTGAGCACTTCCTGGTGGAAGAAAAAAGCAAACCATGCGAGTTTCCTCGCCGGTGGCATGGGCAAGTTCCTCATAGGTCAAACCCTTGAGGAACGCCTTATCGATATCCATGGATGCTAAGATCCACTCTGGATGGCATGCCGCTTCACTCGCCAGGAGTCGCTGGGACTGCCTTCGGGCGGTTCCCGAGAATGTTTCCACATCAAAAGCCTCAGAATCCATAAATCCACGAAGGACGAGTCTGAGACGAATGGTTTTAACGTTCTCGGTACCCATCTTTACGAACTTCCACTTGTAAACATACCTGGATGTCATGATGTTGGAAGCTTTGGATAGATCATACATCTCAAAGCATCGGTTATCAATCCAGATTTTGAGCTTAGTATACAAAGTTTCACCAACCTCCTTTGGATGTGCTGCTATGTCGGCTTTGGTCAGTAGATCATCTTCTTTGACAACCACAGCACGTTTAGCAGCAGAGGATACATATACTCTCATCTTTGCGACCATATCGGTATCGAGCTGTGCAAGTTGAGTCTGATCCAACACTATTTTTGACATTTCTGGTGTAATGCATAATTCAACGTAAGGACCGTATTCATCACTGTCAAGAGAGTAGCTCTCGTCGGTTGTGGTTGAACAAAGAGAGACTAGACAGGACTCACGTGATTTCGGCTCGTCTCCGAGCATATCTGATGATATAATATCATCTTCGTCCACAAATGCTGAAACCAAAACACATTGGTCGGGCAGCATAGTTGTTGGGACGCAATAGAGATAATCATCGGTAATCGTCGTAGGATGAAGGTCCATACGTAGCTCGT